GGGCATAGGATTAGCTATACTGGGAGCAGAAACATAATATCTGTGTAAGGAGGGGACTAAAATGAACATTTTAAATAATTATTAAAAAGCATTATTGAACTAACCTTAACCCTCAGCACTCATCTTCCACCCCCATCTTTCTCCTTTGCATCTTTGAATTGAAGCTGAGATTGTATGTCCTGAGATGAAGAGATGAACAGCTGAAGGTCACGTAAGCCATCTTACCATTATCTTCATTGTGAAGTAGGATCCAGTGCCCCCTGGATTCTGAGGGTTCTTTCTTCTCCAGTTCTTTCTTCTACAGTGTGGATAAGGAGTGTGTTATTTTTAAAGACTGTCTTCACTTTTCGTGCTTTGGTTCACATGATGGAGTATCCTTGCAGAGCCTGAAATTGATTCCTTTCAGATGAAATTAAGCCAAAAGGCATGCTTCAAAAGTTGGTCCAGACTAGCTGGAAGTAAAAACCCTGCAGCACACACTGTGTAGACATCCTGTTCTTCATATCGGCAGCTTTGCCTTACAGATCTGTGCCCATTGCACTGTGCTGCTTGTCAGTATAAACACAGCCTACCTGTGCTTAATGGTTTCCCAGTCTCCAATGCTTTGGGCAGCATGGCTGGGTTTTGCTAGGTATTGGAGAATCAGAATGGTTGAGGTTGTAAGGGACCTCTGGGGGTCATCTGGTCCAACTGCCCCCCGATCAAGCAAGGCCACCCAGAGCCAGTTGACATGTATGGCCATCTAGATCCATCTCCCCTGTTAGCATCTGAGGTGCTGGAGACTTCTGCAATTTGTTTCTTCTTGAGGCTGGTCTTGTAAGCCAGAGTCGCAGTGTGTGTTTCTGTTCCAGGAGAGTCTACCTGAGCTGTGTGGTCATTCAGCTTCCAGATGTGAACTCATGAAAGCTACCCACTTCCTCTCCTGAGTCCTGTCCACATGTGGCTTATCATTCATGTACTGTCCTGCCTCCTTAAAACTCCTAGCAAAGGCCTGGAATTTAATTTGTTTCCACCAAGTATGTAGAAGAGGGAAAACGAGTGGGGAAGGGAATGTTCAGGAAGTTATGGTTGATACTTCATGGCACATCTACTCCACTTGTACTGAGCTTCCTGATATAACGGAGACCCAAGTCAGTAGGTTGTGGTAAGCAACGCCTCACAATAAGGACTATCTTGAGTCCAGAAACAGTATAGCTGTGCTCAAGCACAGTGCATGCCAATGCCGTTGTACTGCTTGCAGATCCAAACTGGTTTATGGGCAGCTGTCCCAAATGTCTAGAAGTGTCTCATCCATGTGTTCCTGCTCTTGGGAGAAGTGAAGGTTGCTGGGTAGAAGGTCTCTGCATCTGTAAGTTGCAGATCTCAAGGAGTTCAGGTGCAAGGGTGGCTATATGAAGATTGGGCACATCTGCATAGTCAGATGGTAAGAGTTGAGGTTTATTAGCTCCAGACTACTCAGAGCAGGGACAGAGCATGCATGTGACTGCTTTCTCCTGATCAAGAAGACCTACTTACAGTACAAGTACTAGTCACTCCACATTTAACTGCACACTGACACAGAGTTCATGCTGCACATCTGTGCAGTAGTTCATTAAAAATGTTTCATACTCAGGTGGATTTATCTTTGTGCTTTTCTTAAATTAATTCTCCTCCAACTCACACTGAATTGTCTTTAACATCTGAAGCAAGGTGGGAAAAGGGAGTAGCTATAGCCCGAGAGAGTTCTTTCAGACACAAGATGTTAAACTGCTTTTTGATCAGCTGCTTGTAGAAATGTACATTAAACTGTAAACCATGGTTCTTCTTGTAACCAGCTAATGATCCTATCAGTCGCAGACTAATTGCCTCTACCTTGTTCTAAATTCTGCTGCATTGAAAAAGCCAAAGTCACATTCTGATCCTGTTAATCACATTCAGCTTTGAAGAGTACATAGTGGTTGTGTGTTAATTCAACTTCTCTCCCTGGTAATTTGTTTGATTGCCTGTTACTTGCAATCTGCACTAACTGAATAAATGTGTTCTGCATCCTGATGGGAAGTTATGACTTTTGTTTAAGCTATTTTAATGCAGATGTTTTGCCTAGAAATTGGTGTAAATTCGTCTCACCTTTCTTCTCTAAAGAACTTTCAATAGGAAGAAAGAAAAGCAAGGATGTTAACCCTTTGTAGAAGGTAATAAAGCAACGGAGTAAACACTGTATTTCTTTAATGCTAGGTTAATAGCAATCTTTATTGCCTGAAAGCTTCTCATCAGTTTATGGATAAATAAGTAAATAAGATATTAAAGTATGAGAAGGAGATGCTGGTGTTATATCCTTTTATTCTTTTCCTCCATCTCCAGCAATATGTATTGTCTGTATTGTCAAGACCTAGAACAGAGTCTGTCTATTCATTACTTTTTTTTTTCATTTTTTTAAATATAATACACAAACATAAATATTCTACATAGTGCTATATAAGTCTTTCAGAAAAAGATAGAACATATGCCAAATTACCTTTCAGCTTTCCACATCATTTTCTGAACAAGAGTACAAGGCCACTGGATATGTCCTATAAGCACAAAACAATTGTTACTAGGACGTTTTTATTAACACTGGATCTATGTGATAATGAAGATTTATTGTGATTTTACCTTTGAAATCCTCTGAATCTTAATGAGAATTTTTTATCCCTGTTCTGAATTTCAATGAGAATTACTCTGAGTGTCATGGCCATGTTAAATATTTGTGAAATCCTTTTAGATTACTTTCAACATTTTAAAAATAAACAACTGATTTTATGGAGGCATTTTTTCAAGTCAACAGGAGAGACATTCACTTTTAGTATAAGAAGCATTCTCTGCTAAAAAGAGGTTACATTTGTAAAATGCTAATGTCAAAATTATTTATAAAGAGAATCTAAAGTTGACTCTGAAATGTTTAGTTCAAATGCTGCCTGAAAGTGTGGACCGATTAGTGATGCCTTACCAGATCAGCCTTCTTGAAAAACAGACTATTCATTTAGACTCCAAAATATTTGGAAGTGAGGTCTGGAGACCTGGTGTTTATTAATTCATGAAGGACTTATACTAATTAGCAGTGTTCATTTCCCAGAGGCCCACTTAGGCTATGGAAGCAAGCCCCCCTGCTGCTGTCCTTACAGAATTCCCTTCAAGCAGTCCATGAGAGCATCCAAAGCGGAATCCTGCTCTGAGTGATCATTGATTGGGTCCTTCTCTCTCTCTCCATTGACCAAAGGGCAAACAAAAAGTTTTGCCTCCCAGGGATACTTCCCTCATATTCTGGGGTGTTCCTCTGAGCAACATTGCTGCTATCAGATGGCAATAAATTAGTTCATTCTGGTAGAATCAAAACTCTCGGACCATCTGCGGACAATGACATTTTCCAAATACTGTTGTAGTATCTCAGTATTGAAGCTTTTAAGTTATTCCTTTTCTTAAAAGGATTTGCTACTCATTATTTGCTACCTGTCTTCAAATGTTGGGGCAGGGGTCTCCAGTATTCCTTGTCTGATTGCTCTGAAAAATCATTTTTCCTCTTCTTTTCTTATAAATGTACTTTTACACTTTTCTGTGTTTTCTTCTTTCTAGAGTCCAAACTGTAGTGTCCATCTTTCAAAGGCATCGGCTTGGACTAGCTGACTTCTCATGCTTGTTTATTTTTCCTTCTATTCTCATGATTAATTTCTTATGCTTTGTATCACATCTGTTCTTCTGTCTTGCCCCACATTCCAGTCAAAATCTAGTTTGCTCAGGGGGCCTCAACTTCCCAACATCACAAGACTGGATCTTCAGCATTTGGTCAGCCAGAGATTCTTTTATTTCTTCACCTTCTTTTTTTAATTTTTTTGCTGTAAAAACATATCACTCGTCTTCTCATGGAGTTCAGCCCTCCTTTCATTTTACTGTAATATTTTTACTACTAGTCTCTCTTGCCTGATTTAACGGACAATGTTAAAAATGCCGACTGCTTCATAGCCATTTATTGTTTGAAATAAATCTACCTTTTTTCTTTTTTTTTACTGGCTTGCCGCATTGCTGGAGGACACAGAATGAAGCCTCAGTTTTACCTTCATATTTCAAGAAAATGTCAATTTTGATAGGGAATTCAACTCCTGCATTCTTCCTCTAAAAATACATTATTAGGTCAATTTACTTCTGTTATTGTATTCTGTGTCTTGATCATTTTAATCCAAGGCATCTGGCTCAAATCTGTTATATTCAGTGTTGGGTTCTGGTTCAAAAGAACTGATGACAGATGTGCTGACCCACATGAAAGCCACTTGAAAGCTCAGATTTTATTAGGCTTTAAGATTCTTGCCTTGCATTTTTAAAAGTCTTGTGCTAAGATTATTAAATAAAGAACTCACAAAAATCAAGGAATGAAAAAGTCAGAGCTTTAGAGGTAGAAAAAGAATAAAGGCTTAAAGAGAGAAGAAAAGTTCAGCACGAAAAGAAGTGTGATAGCAAATGTTTTAAAAAACTTGGTAAAGCACAGGATCTGTTACTGCTAAGGAAATGGAAAGGCACTTGGGGAATCAATCTCTGGCATATTGTATTCTGATTATTAGGAGCACAGGGGAACACTTTGGCTACAAATTGTTTGCAGTGGTTTGGTGGGACCACATATGGCACCTAGCACAATGGAAGATGGTATGAGGTTAGCCCTGCTGTGCCATTAGGTGGTATAAACAATAAGTAACAAACAGAAAACAAAAGTAAATTGACTAGGAGCTTGGAGAGGGAAAGTTACTGTTGATGGTGTCAGCATGCAGCGGGCACATTTGCAAAGCAGGGCAAGGCCACCTCTTGGACGGGGTTTTCTCTCACCATGCACTAAAGGCCTTCTTAACAGCCCTGGGTTTTCCTGCCTGCATCCAAGAACTGTCTGCAAACAATGCGTGACATGCTGCACCATTTTGCTTTGGTGTGGTGTAAAGTAAGACTGCAAACAGCAACTGTTCTAACTACCTTCTCCTGTGTTTTATTTCTGTTTTGTTTAGGTTGACCTGCTTGTCCCTACAAAAATCACTGGCATAATTACCCAAGGAGCTAAAGATTTTGGTCATGTCCAATTTGTGGGGTCCTACAAGCTTGCTTACAGTAATGATGGGGAGCACTGGATCATATACCAAGATGAAAAACAAAAGAAGGATAAGGTAAAGCAAAGAGAAAATCGGTATTTCGGTTGCATTTACAGAGGACTACACCTGTAGTAACTCCAGTGCTGGAAGCTTGTAGATTATTGCATGCTACCTGCTTTGTAGGGTTCCATATGCATAGGATCCCACAGACAAAAGTCAAGGTGAATAAAAAAAGAGTCATATAACACAATGACATTCACAGTGCAGTAATATCATACCTATCAGTGCAATGCACCTGATTTAACTCTATTAAATATGGGACATAAAACTTTACAGTTCTCCATTTATTGGAATTATTTCTTCCTTTAACTCTAGAGGAGAAGGTATATAAATAGAGGTTTATTTGTATATTCAAAAACAGTGTCTCAGTGCATATTTTGATAAGTATGCACTATTTTCTGTAAAGCAATCTTTAGTGTACTTCATTACTTAGCCATTTTGGATTTTTTTTTTTCCTGGAAATTAATCACTAGGGTTTCAAATACCCAATGGAAAGATTATTTTTTATTACACTATTAAATGAATACAAAACATTAAAAGTTCCACAACTTCCTTTGCAAATGTTAATGAGAGGCGTAGAGAAAGTATAGGTTTGCTGATTGATTTACCTGGAAGCATTTAACTTTTCTCTTGTTATTTAGGATATTATTCATTATACCTTTCCTTTAAACTATATAACACTTTTATACTGCAAATACCTGAATTCATAATATCATCTGTTAAGAAGGAGATTACAGCATATGTATTGCTTAAGGGAAACATTAAGCAAGCTGACAAAATGTGAATTATTTATTAAATATCTTAGTGGGATTATGTCTGATTGAAACAGAAGATGTACTAAGAAAAAATACCAGATGGCTGATATGTCTGATAACGCATGTCTCAAATCTGGTGTTTTTAACATCTGTATTCAGGGTGATAAATGTTCCCACTTGTACTCATTTTTATTAGAATAAACAAAAATTCTTCAGTGAAAAATTAATACCCTTTATATAGGTCAATTAAATTCATTTTTTGAAGTAATGAGAAGGCTTTTGAAATGTATTGATATGTGTTGTATGAGTACAGATAGATCTATTGATGAGTGGTTAGACAACTGCATCTCTTAAATTTCACTGATTTTAAAGGACTGATCAAATGTACACCTTATTAGGAGAAGGTGTCCTAAATTACTGGATTAAATATGTACATAACGGTATGTGTGTGTGTGCATAGACGTTATGTTTGTAAGATTATTATCCAAAGATGACATTGTAAAGTCCCAGTCTTAAAAGCCAAATGGCAGTTCACTGTGGTTTTATCCTGCACTGAGATTTTTCCCCATCAAATTCTAAAGGAATTTAGATAGGGAAAACAAAATCAGTTGTTTTAGCCATCCAACTGAGAAGGTCCTGACACCCATGATTATGGATGTGTCTAGTATAATTGGTTGTCAGGTAAAAATTGGAAACAAACAACTCACCTTTCATAGACATACCATAAATGAATTCAATATAAATGACAGATAGACACTTCAGGACTTTGTACACATCCCATTTTAAATCTCTGTCATTTAAAAACAGAAGCAAAAGATCTACTATGAAAGAAATGTCTTCTCTAAGGCAAACTTCTGTTAGTGAACTGTTGCATTCATTTTACTGAAAAAAAGAACACGCGTTCAAGTCTCTGGTGAGAAACACAGTTAACAGTCACAAGCAAATCTGAAAGAAAATGCACTCTCACTTAACAGCACTGTTCCATTCTACACTTGTTTATAACATTTGCCAAGGCAATTAAATTCTTTTTGCTTTCATCATCAGCTGGATTGTTAATTGCTATCCGCATATTCCGTTAGGAACAATGGAAAACTCTTAATCATTGTCTTATTAAAACATCTCACATCCTGCATTAATTAACATCCCTAAGAATGAAATAGATGCATATTATTATGATTCTTTAGCAAATCAAGAGCAATTAAAAGCAGAATGTGATCAAATACTCTTAGCTGGAAATTAGAAGTTATAACTTCTGAATTTAAATTTTCACGAAATAAAGAAACAAGATTGCTTGATACAAGTCCAGACCTCAGTCTTTGATACACAAACATTAATCCAAAGTATCTTTACTATTTCTAATTTTTTGCATTTGACAAATATCTGAAAAAGTCAGAAGTCTGATGGCAGAGTCTGACACTCCAGAAATACTAGCAGTTTGTCAGTGAACTTGGCAAAACTTTATAGGAGGTAGGACTGGAAAGGATCTTGAGACAGCACCTAGATGTGTACCTCTTGACCTATGAAGAGACTACACTCCTCTACTCCATCCCCTCTGAGGTCTTCTCAGCAAAAAATGGGATTCAGTAACCCCCAAGTCCCTTCCTGCTACCTTAGGAGTAGGTGCAAACAGTTCCTTGTTAGAACTAAGGCTTAATTCATTCACCTGTCCTTCACCTCATACAATGCTCATATCCTGCACCATTCTCCATCAGATTATTATTTTGCATGTTCACAGAAACACAGTGATGAAAATTCTACAATACAGACAGTCTACTCCAGTGTTAAAATCTCCTAAAATGTGGAAAGTTTGCTTATCCCCCTCCCTGCAACACAGCCATCTTGTCCTCAGAGGACACAAAAACCTGATTTCAGACAGTTTGTTCTGGCTGAAGTACATTAACCTATTTCTTCTCAGTTCCTTCTTGGGGAAAAATAATCTTTGTTCTTTCAGTCTTTCCTCAAAGGATATGTTTTCTCAACCTCAGATCATTCTTATGTGTTCTGCTTGGACCAGCTCTTCCTGAAGTGTGGTTTCCCACACTTGTAGTGTTGCAATCTTTAGCACAGAACTACTGCCTGCTCCATCATTCTCCATATTGTACCTGTGACATTGATTATGACTTCCTAAGGTTTGGCTTGCTACTCATCATTATTAAATTGCACCATTGATCTCCTGTGCATTTCTCCAATTTGTCAAGACCACTCTGAATTTTGATTCCACCTTTCAAAATGGGAAAAGGTTGGCCACATCTGCACATTTAACAAGCAAATCTATTTCCATCATCCATTTCATTACTGAGAATACATAAATTGCATTCAGCCAGCGGCATGGAGCGTCACCCAGAAAAACCATCCAGTTTGACACAAAACCCTTCATCACTGCTGCAGCTAGGTGTGTGTTGATGCAGTGTGGTCTGATGGGATTTGCCCACTGGATGTATATAGCACCAGAAATAGTGGCCACACTCTGGCCTGTGTGCAGTGGAACAAAAATATAAATAAAAAAATTAAAACAGCTGAAGACAAAGCAATGCTGTCTCTCATCCAGGGGGAGCAGAAGAGAAAAAGCAGCATTGGTCCTGTCTGATACAGGATTGACAACAATTTCCTTAGCTTCAGTTAAGATACAAGATTTGGCCCAAAATGCAAGAACACTGTAGAAGAAACCATGTTTTCACAGCAAAGTGAAACTTTCATGGAATGTTTCTTCTGTCCCCTGGCAATATGGAAGGGAGATAAAGGATAGATACTGGCAACTAACAACAGCAGCAAGCATAAATTATTCATAATTTACCCTCATTCATTCTATATATTAACTGAATACCTTGATTTCTTCTACGGAGGATAGAATATATAGTTTTCTTATTTCCTCTGCAGGTGATTTACTTATCCTATACTCATCCTGTGATCCTTGTACAATCATCCAATAATTTAGGAGAAAGATGATTCCAAAAACTTTCAGGGAAAGGAAGACAAGATAAAAGAAAAATAACTACTTTTAAAGTCCTAACAAAATTTGTCATTTTATATTCTGGAAAAGCAAAGATTAAAAAAATGTCTCAGACATAGAAATTATGCAGATATTGGTAGGCTGGTAACAATGGTTTGCAGATTAATATTGTGACTTTACAAAGCATTGAAGGAAGAGCTGAGAGTTTAATCCTGTCTGGTGCTGAATATCTCACTGTTCAGCATTTTACAGGATGAGTCCTAACATACCAGCATATCTCAGTGAATTCCTGAAGCCATTCACTTCTGCCTCTTCATCATTTGTGAAGTTATTTTACAAAGGAAAAAATATTGGTATCTTGTATTCACAAGTGCAATATGTGCAGTCTGTATCTTTGATCAATCTGCAACAAATTAGTTCTTTAAAACAGAAGGATATATGGTGTTCAGTTTTCTTCTTTGCACCATTTCAAATGGAAAAGCTGTTCTAAGAACAGCGGCTCCTGCAGCTCCTGTTTGGCTGCTGCAATTTTAACAGCCAGTCATTTGAGTTCACATCTGTGCTTAACTTCTGTGAATGCAGACAAAAAAGGTACTGGGGGGTAAAAAGCATGTCTTAAAAAAAAATGAAGCCTTCCTTCTCATTCATTTTAAATAGTTTGAATGAGTTGCCTGGAAAATACGAAAGTTTTTCCCGTTGTCTTCAAGAAGCAAAATAAATTACATTGCAGGCTGACAAGCAGGAAGAAAATATATTTTAGAAAAAGGACCAAAGCTAATAGCTATCTTGTTTTTCTCAACTAGAGGTCAGTAGCTCACTGTGCCTCCAAAGCTAAGGATATCCAAACCAAATTTCACCTTTTTTTTTTTTAATCACTTTCCACGTGATTTATAAATTGCACAGCCTGCTCTAGATAACTCAAGGCCAGCTGCAGTGTCGAATGGCATTTTGGAGGCTGGTTTTTTAAAATATGAGAACATCTGAAAGTAGCCTAAAGGAGTCTAGCAGGCTGCAGCACCTTCAGTCATTATTAGCCATCAGCAGTGCAATTCACTGGAGGTAGACAATGTCCAGTATGCAAATGGCCACTGGATTTGTACACAAAATGATGAACTAGTTATAAGTTATATGCTTTGCATGTCTAGTTAATTGCCATAGCAACGGAAGACAGGAACCTACTTACAAATGAAAAGTTAGATCACGTCAGGTTAAATTTTTCAGCTATATTTGCTAATGGTTTTCTGTATGGTGTTTAATTATTCTAATACCTGGTTTACATTGATAGATTTAGTTCCCACATATAATCTACA